GTCTAAGTTTTGAGTGGATACATCAGTTTCGGTACCCCGTGAACCCAAATCAGTGGGTTTCGAATAGTAATAGAGATCGAAGGTTTCGAAGTGATGTCTGTGCTGTGGGTGAGTACAGAGCTACAGACTACACCTTTGGTCCGATGTTGAAGAAATTTTGTATCTGGGTATGGTTAGGCGCTTTTTTTTTAATTTTTATGTAAAACTGTGGTTTTATATAAGACCAATAAACTAAGCGGAAAATCACTCACCAAAATTGTTTCAAAATCTAAGATAAATTAGAATTCTTGTAGCAAGCAGATGTGCTTTAAATCGTATGAAAAAGATAATGGTCGTTTTATTAACTAACTTATATTACTTTCGGAAAGCAAATTTAAAATGCATTTTGGGAAATACCAGAAACAATTTCGTCTCAGTCTTGACTAAAAGAAAATGTTTTATGTAAGGCGCCGTGTTCGGTGGCTGACGGTTCGTGCCACATACATACTGCATGGCCCCGCTGGCCTTACACTTTGAATATTTTAGCGTTCTCCCAGCGCGAGTGCCATCTCGGGGTTCTTCTACGTCATCAAATTACCGGAGGAATACCGACATTGTCATTGTGCACTGAAGATAAATTATGCAGTGATGTTCTCGAACGGTGTATAGGTAGTACCGTCTTTATTTACATTGTGTTTTAACGCTATTTGGATTTTTGACTTTTTTCGCTTTTCGATGTTAATGCTAATTTATAAAAACGAGTATACAAATTTAGTTCTAGTACAAATCTACTTCTACCCAAAGAAATTACTGATTCAAAACGGTGCAGTATAAATTTAAATATCCATTGACATTATTTTCATTTTATAAACTCATTTTGAACAAAGAAGGGTTCAACAGTTTCTAATCCCACCACTCTACTAGATGCAATTCAAATTACACCTTTGCCTAAGTGAACATTTCAGAGGGGCGACCTAGTTTTACATCTATTCCAGACTAGAAATTTAAATTCTACGTAATCAGGTGGTGTTAGTGACTGAGCGATGGTGCCGATAAATGGGTCAGCAATGCTATTGGTGACCGTTATATAGACACAATATCGCTGTACAGTACTGAACATTGTTTAACTATCAGCACTGAATATTATAAATATATATCTTTGGTATGGTAGTTTAAAAGATATTTTTCGTCAGTCTGGAACAATTTTACTCATCACTTCGTGCTAGGCCTAGAGGGTCACATTTTCCCTAAAGGTTTTGGTAATCGGATGGATTTGAACCCGATACCCGTCGTAGTGTTGATAGTAGAAGGGTACAGGCGTCTATGGGACTGGGCCACGTTGGATCGATGTTATTCCCTCCCTACAACCTCACGTTCTGATCCCTTATCTTACTATGTAATTAGGCAATTGGTAAATAGTTAGATTTGAACCCGATGCCCGTCGTAGTGTTGGTAGTAGAAGGGTACAGGCATGTATGGGACTGGGCCACGTTGGATCGATGTTACTCCCCTCCCTACAACCTCATGTTCAGATCTCTTATCTTACTATGTAATTAGGCAATTGTTAAATAGTTAGATTTGAACCCGATGCCCGTCGTAGTGTTGGTAGTAGAAGGGTACAGGCGTGCCTGGGACTGGGCCACGTTGGATCGATGTTACTCCCCTCCCTACAACCTCATGTTCAGATCTCTTATCTTACTATGTAATTAGGCAATTGGTAAATAGTTAGATTTGAACCCGATGCCCGTCGTAGTGTTGGTAGTAGAAGGGTACAGGCGTGCCTGGGACTGGGCCACGTTGGATCGATGTTACTCCCTCCCTACAACCTCATGTTCAGATATCTTATCTTACTATGTAATTAGGCAATTGGTAAATAGTTAGATTTGAACCCGATGCCCGTCAAAGTGTTGATAGTAGAAGGGTACAGGCGTGCCTGGGACTGGGCCACGTTGGATCGATGTTACTCCCTCCCTACAACCTCACGTTCTGATCGCTTCTCTTACTATTCTTATATTACTATTCTCTTACTATCTTACGCTTCAATTAGGTAATTGGAATACTACTTTTGCAACTGGAGGATGATTTTGTTAATGAACTTTATCAAAAACTTGTAATATTTAGTAATGATCGTGGATATACTTGGTCAAAATTAGCGAAGCAATATTAATTGATATTTTATAATATACTCTCTAATGTAGAAATAACAAAAAAATCTTTATAAATTAAATTTACATGGAAAGAACTTTTGCGGTGATATTATATAAACTAGGTACTTTTATACTGTATATCAGTGGCAGTAGCCATAGATTATTGTGGAATTGATACTGCTTTGTTACTGACAGATACTTAAACCGCTCCGTTCAAGAACAAATAAAGCAGTTGCTAAACCAGTGGCAGGCTGTAGGTAGGGTGAATTTTATCCCCCTGGAATTTTACCCCCTGGGCAAAGCTGACGTCACTATGACGTAGTAACCTGAGTGGCCAAAAGTTTGTTCGCGGCCGGAATTTTACCCCCGCGGATTTGGAAGTCTAATGAAAATAGCCAGAGCGTGATTAATTAGATTAGCGATAAAAACCGGAATTTTACCCCCTGTCCATATAACTAGCGTTTAGACAACTGAAGATGTACGGGCCGGAATTTTACCCCCGGATTTTTACCCCCCGGAATTTTACCCCCGGATTTTTACCCCCCGGAATTTTACCCCATGGCCGATTTTAGAAATTGAATGATTGATTTTCTTATTTCTATTTTTAATTAATTGTAAACATTTCATTATTTAGTAGCCTATTTTTATTTATTTATTTTGTAATCTCAACTATGTAAACAGAATTCGCTGTTTAATTTTGATGTTCGGGATTTGCGTTTGGGGCCAACTGTTGGTTAATAATAAGTATGTAAAATAAACTGAGTAGCTAAATTAAATGATAATTGGGTGAGCATTTCTTCGTAAAGAAACAATAAGGCCTATTTTGTTATTGTTACAATACAAACGAAAAACATTGTTTTACCACGGTTGTATGATAAATCGTTAAAGAAATCTTCGAATCAATTATCATTCTGATGTTTGTTTATACGTCATATTAATCAACAGTTGGATTCAAAGATCAAATCCTGATACTCGAATCTCAAATTTAAAATCAAAAACCTGTTTGATTAGTTGATGTTACAAATAAATTAAGATAGGCTACTTAATAATAAAATGTTTACTATTAAATTAAAACAGAATGAAGATAATTATTAATTCTCGCTATTTTTATATCTGGCCAGGGGGTAAAATTCCGGGGGTAAAAATCCGGGCCGTACACTCTAGGTTCTTTTAATTTGATGTGTTCTGATTAAGTTCACAACCGTGAAAATATATGTTTAATTCCGCGTTTAATCCATCGAGCTGATGTCGCGAAACTCAAAAGTTCGCGGCCGGAATTTTACCCCCTGGTTTTTGACGTCACGTTTGCCCAGGTGGTAAAATTCCAGGGGGATAAAAATCCGCTACCCCTGTAGGTATTGTTGTTGCTAGTTAATCTGTGTCGGTAGTCCTCTGGGACATAATACCTAGGAATTAAATTTAAATTAAATTAAAACCCGAGCGCAGACCGATAAATTAAACGGTGACCTCAGAACTTTTATTAATAAATTCAGTATTATAATTAATAAATTATAATTAATAAAATCGTATAAAAATATACGATTATCTAAATTTGGATTTATTGCTAGCCTATGATGAACTTGGCCATTAACAATAATAACTTAAGGTCCTCCAAGGTTTCGTTTAGTCTTACTACTTGAGATTATCATAGCCTAGGCATTATTATAGTTTCTGATTCTACAAAAGGTTTTGAAATGTCTCGAACTGTCAGTGTTACCAGTAAACATTAACATTGTATTTATTTTATTCAAGTTTACTTTACCATCGTGACAACACGATGTGTACATTCTTCGAGGTTTTTTTCACCTCCAAAGTAAGAACTGGCAAATATACAAGTGAGTGAGTATCTGGATTGCTCACTGTTAGACCAGGTCTCTCTTCTTCTACTCTTCTCATACGCATAAGATCTCTCATTAATTGTCTCCTCCTACTGCTTTTCAATATTTATTCTTTGAACTCAGGGCATTTTCTGTTTTCACAACAAAAATAATTAACTGTTTACATTGGTCTATTTCCTCCTGAATATTACAAACGTCAATATTTACTCACAAAAAAGCTGCTGAGTTTCTTTTTATTGACAGCTGTTTTTTTTTTATTTGTTTGATATAATTCTTATGTGGGAAAATCCACCTTTGAGAGTGTCTTGCGCCCTCGAGGTTAAGAATTTTTAAATTCTAAAACCTTATTGCAAAACTACAAATTGAGACAAATTTGTTGACACCTCAAAGGTTGAAATTGGTCCACAAAAAACGGCTTCACGTATTATAAATATAGATCCTATATTGTAAGCAACATTTACAGTTTGTGTTGCCACATTACAGGAAGGTATTTGTGTACCCTATCTTGTAAGCAATGTTTACAGTTTGTGCTATCATAATACAGGAAGGTTTGTGTATCCTATCTTGTAAGCAATGTTTACAGTTTGTGTTGCCATTACAGGAATGTATTTGTGTATCCTATCTCGTAAGCAACGTTTACAGTTTGTGTTGACATATTACAGGAATATATTTGTGTATCCTATCTTGTAAGCAACGTTTACAGTTAGTGTTACCATATTACAGAAATGTATTTGTGTATCCCATCTTGTAAGCAACGTTTACAGTTTGTGTTGCCATATTACAGGAAGGTATTTGTGTATCCTATCTTTTAAGCAACGTTTACAGTTAATGTGTTACCATATTACAGGAATGTATTTGTGTATCATATCTTGTAAGCATTGTTTACAGTTTGTGTTGCCATATTACAGGAAGGTATTTTTTGTGTATCTTATCTTGTAAGAAACGTTTACAGTTTATGTGTTACCATATTACAGGAATGTATTTGTGTATCCTATCTTGTAAGCAATGTTTACAGTTTGTGTTTCCCCTGTTACAGGAAGGACGATCGGCACCACGGCGAAGACAGGCAACGCAAGGAGGCTCAACACTCAAGTTTCTCCACACAAACACTTTTATACAATTAGACCAAATGTGATATTTTCATTATTTGTTAATTTTGACGTGTAAATATTTTAGTGTTTAGTGTAACTAGCGATTGACATTACAAGTTCGTGATCCACGACAGACACTATAACAAATAATCAAATTATACAAAATATTATTCTAAATAAGGAAGTGCCCAAGCAAGACATCGTTAGCTCATAACTCCATTCATTTTTCTCCAAGGTAAGTGTTAAGTTTGTAATTAATTGTTGTAGAAATATAAATGAGTCAAACATTGTTTTGATACAATTGCATAATCATGAAAAGTACTGTTTGACTCTGACCAAAAGCTTCTGTGGTTTCGTCAAATAGATTGACTAATTCACCTTTAGACAAAAAGTACTAAAGAAATGGCCAGACTGCCTTTTTAGTTTTGGCCTACATCATGAGTCAAACTAAAATACACCTCTTCTCTCTCCATTTCAATCAGCTATTGTTTAAACAATTATTTGTATTCACACTGTTTTAGTACTGACACATTTCTTAGTTCAAAATATTGTTTATGCTTTAGTGTTAACATTTGTGTTACGTATTTTGAATTTTATTATGAACCTTCAGTGCCGAAAAACACTACAAAATAACCATTTTTATAACAAATAATATAGGTCCTATATTATAAATATTTTCAGTAAATTTGCTTTCTCTAAACTTGGATAGTGCTTAAACAAAGGAAAAGTCGTCTCAGTTAGTTAAAAAAAAACATTCAAAGAATTAATCGATGAATTGACTCGTTTAACAAAGGAATAAGGAAAATTTATGAGTCAAACCCCGTTGAGAAATAAATAGAATATTCATCAAATACACCAGAGTTTGGTCACAATAAATAAATTCTCTAGTTTGTGGATTAGTGTTTGTTAGATAACAATCAGAATGCAAGTGCGGGTGATGGTGAGAACACGTTTGGTTGATAACTAGATATCGAAGGTCATTACAACAATGGTCACGTGGCCACGTCTCGAGACTACTTTCTTCTATCGGTTACTGAACTACCGAATACTCATCCGATGGTCGATAGTATTATCGATATGTTACGAATATCGTTATAACTGAGAACGTTTCTGAGACCTATGTTTGACATTTAATTTATATATTTCCATTCAATTCATGTAGTTTGACAGCGTATTTTAGATTGTTAAATTATGCTTGCGGTGATGTTTATTAAGACAATTAATTATTGAACACTTAAATTACCTATATGACATTTTTGATACTGCATAAGATTACTGAGCGTAAAAAGTTGAAAAAAGGCATTTTAAATAATAAATATTGTATTCCCTGTTTAACTTAGTGTGTGGCAATTAATTAGGCATTACCTATGCCATTTTTAAGCTCATTAAATGTTAAATGTTCATTATCCAGCAAATAAACATAAGAAATAATTAAATACAGTAGTACTTTTAGGCATAGACAATTTTTTTTCCGGTCTTATTTGTTTGGCCATTGACTATTTTTTGTGGAAGTTTAATTATTATGATTGTGTTAATTCTAAATGAACTAAACTCTCACATTAATTGATTAATCCACCTTAAACCAAAAAAATTACCAGAAAACACTTTATACTTCTAGTGTAGTAAGACCAGTGCAAGTATACATATATTACACCCAAACATTTGCGAAACAATTGAACAAATCATTTGTCCATTACATATAGATAGTGTACCCTTGTTGATAAACCATTTTAACAACTTCAGGCGTTCCATTTCGTCTCAAAAATTCAATGCAATAACTTAATATAATTATTATACCTGCGCCATTGAAATAGGACCTTACAAAAGCTAATTATACTACAAAGTCATTTTATCATCAATTCAAACAATCGTACAAAATTAATAACTTTAGTGCTTAATCAATCAAGTGTCAAAAAGAACACTTGAGTATCGAGCCATCGAGTAGTCGACTACTTATATCGATAAGTCAAACCGGATTCGCTGCTACCGCTAAACGCTCTTCTTCTCCTTCTCTGTTCTGTGCCAGTTTGTTATTAGGTCTTGCTTCGAAGACACCGCGAATGAATAACTTTCGCGGTAAAAGTGTGTCGAACGTTTCTCGCCGGTTACAATGGTGAAGTTTACGTGAGTGTTGAGTTGAAGTGGCTTGAAGAAGAAGAAGTGTCGCGTTTGATTGTGAGTATTCGTTCAATTACGTAACTTAACCTTCTTTTCTTTGTAGAATCGTAGAATGTTTTGATTCCGACCGGTCGCGTCGGTGCGTGTGCTCTGGGCGCGACTCACTTGACCAGATACAGTTTGAATAGCGATAATATTGAAGTATATTTTATTAAGTGATGATCAGAGAAATATATAACTTGTATCGGTTTAATCAAACACAAACATGAATGTTTTGTAATTTAGTTGAGTTTTTAGTAGGCTATATACAATAAGGCAAGTTATTGGAGTTTACAATTACATAACATTTCATTTTAGGTCTCTAATGACAAAACAAATATTTTTGAGATTTGTTTTCACGTGCCTATTATTCTGAATTGACAAGGCATTAAAGATACTAATGATTACAGGCGGTAAATATTCTGAAACTATTTTCTAGTTGAATTGTAAAGCTCTGTTAGGTCTTTTAAATTGGGAGTCACTATATTGTTGAACCGGGTTGACAAATTAAATAGACATAATGCCAACTTAGGATATAGATATTTACATAAAACTTGAAACGAAGGTATATACACTTGTATTCTTAACGTATGTAAAGTTTGGTCAGGATTAAAAAATATTTACTAATTTTATTAACATAAAAACTGCCGTGAAAATACATTTTTATTTTGTTGGTTCGGGTAAATCGTAGAAAATATGAACTTAGAATTAAGCTATGTACATGAAACGTGGAATGAAGGATTCATTAGGTATTCGGTATTAGGTATTCTAAACGTATGTAAGGTATGGTGACGATAAAAATTACCTAACTTACCTTATTAGCAAAATACCGCTTCCAACAAAATAAAATTAGCTTTTTACTTAGCTTTTTTAGTTAGCTTAAATACAGTGATTTGCAAGTCCTAAGCGCGTAATAACGGTGTAATTTAAAAGTATATTTTTGTACTTTTATTTCCAAGTCGTATTAGGCTTACCCGTAAGTATGTTTTGTAGCTAGCAAAATCTTGAACTTCTTTTACAATGATTATTTTACAATGGTGATCTTCTACAGTTTAGAGAATTTTGTGCAGTTATTAAAGATGAGAAAGTTTGTTTTACGTGTTTGAAGTAGAGGTAGTAGGACAATATTGCATTTAGCTTTTTAGTTATTTTCTAAACGTATGTAAGGTATGGTGACGATAAAAATTACCTAACTTACCTTATTAGCAAAATACCGCTTCCAACAAAATAAAAATAGCTTTTTACTTAGCTTTTTTAGTTAGCTTAAATACAGTGATTTGCAAGTCCTAAGCGCGTAATAACGGTGTAATTTAAAAGTATATTTTTGTACTTTTATTTCCAAGTCGTATTAGGCTTACCCGTAAGTATGTTTTATAGCTAGCAAAATCTTGAACTTCTTTTACAATGATTATTTTACAATGGTGATCTTCTACAGTTTAGAGAATTTTGTGCAGTTATTAAAGATGAGAAAGTTTGTTTTACGTGTTTGAGGTAGAGGTAGTAGGACAATATTGCATTTACTGAATTTACTACTGTAATTGTTTATGGATTCTTGTGCTCTTTGTTCAAAATTAAACATCCTATAGTGATATTTGATATGCTTGTGGGTCGGGTCATTCTAAAGGCTTCAGCAACTGTTGTTCCTATATCCTGTAGAAGCAGTGAAGTGGAGAATTGTTGGACAAAAAATATACCGGCGGATAAAACCGTCTATACGACAACGATTATATAGGTCTTCTTGCAAATTATTTTTTTTTTCAGTTTATGGCTGATTTATGGCATAGCTGTTGTTCTTCTTCTGTTTAGAACACAATTAAGACTATGTCGTACTGCTGGCCAAATGATCAAAATGTATATTACATTCCAATTCTTTTGGTATGCGGAATGCTGACCTAGTTTAAGTTGCTCCCGTCTTCAACGAACAAACTTATTCCAAATATAATAACCGAAGTTTTAGCCAAATATACATAAACATAAGATTGATCCTAACCTACTTCAAGCACTTTAAGCACTTGAGGTCGCCGGATCGATCCTGAGAAGAGTCTTCATCTTTTTATCGTCCGAAACTAAACCCTGCTTTCCTTGATAAGTTTACCTATTGAGAACATTATAAATTTCAGCTGATTTTAATCACTAAAAAGCTACACTATATAGATATAATAATCTATACAGGGTGTTCATTTGAAAACTTTCCATATCTGTTGTGTGCAAAGGTAAGGCTTTTAACATTTGTTTGTTCTCATTTCCCCCTAATTTGGACATGCCAAATCCATTATTTTCAATTTTAAAAAATGCCCCAAAAGGGCCCAATTCGGGGGGTAGGGGTGCTTTTTGAGAAATTTTCAAATGTAAACATGGGTTGTGTGATACATCAATTTAAAGGTCTAATCACCCCAATCATTTTGGTGCAAAAAAAGTTTAATTATCTTTAACCGTATTTACAGAGTGGGTCAAAACGTTTTAAAAAAGGACTTAGAAGTTAAGTACCGTATTACCCGAACTACTGAACGGAACAGCGCCAAATTTCTTTCCAAGCTTATTCTTGAGCTACTCTTTAAGATAACTTGTAGTAAGGGCATTTTCCAAGTTATTTTCTAATTTTTAAAAAATCCCAAATTTTAAGAATAAAAGAAAGCTGAAAACTCAAAATTCTTAAATAGCAAGGTATAACAAATTTCATACCACGTGAAAGGTCCTTTTTAAACATTTTACGTATTTAAGTTTTCTTTCTATCTCTTACCGTTTAAAAATTGCAGTAGAAAAACACAATTTTCTATGGTAAAATTGTAACTAGTTTTCTAATAAAACACATTGCATTTTGTTCAACGATGTAGTAGAATTCATAACAAATTGATCGACTACTTTTACGTGTGTCAGAATTCATCTTGGACCCCTCATCCTGTTCTTTTCTCATTGGTAACTGAGCCAGTTTCAGAAAACTTCCTAACTAAATCATTTACAGCCATATGACTCAAGGTTATACCTGGATATCTATTGTTAAACACTTTGCAGTTATCCTGGAACACTTTTGTTATGACCAATAAGTAAAATAAAGTCTATTTTTTTAAGTTTACACCA